CTGCCAAGCCAATCCATATCAAAAGCGTTGTGGTCGCAGGCGCCATAGCACTATTTTTTTTAAATACACAAAGGCCCCAATTAAAATATAAAAATGTAAGTTTAGGGTTATAGGTAATCATAAAAATACGCACTAAATAAGATAAGATAAGATAAGAAAAATTTTATTTGACAAAAAGAAAAAATAAAAAATAGAACAAAGGAACTTAAAACTATAGAATTACATTAGAATNTACGTAAAGTAAAAGTCAAGTAAGACCAGATGAATACAAATATTATTAATTTTATTAATAATTCGTACGCGTGGACCTCGTTTTACTCCTTAGTTCGTAAAATCTGTTGTTTGATATTGTTTTATTAAATAAAAGATGATCTGCATTCAAGAGTTGTATTCATTCATAGACGCCATTACACAATTCTACAAAAGACAGATTCCATAGACTATAATAGCTTAATCAGACCATAGACTATACTATTTTTACTTTTACAACAGATATCATGTTGATAGATGGCGTTTCACGGCTTCCCCCGCATGAATATTTACGAACGTCAAAAACAGTAGTTTGTCCAGCGCTGTAGATTTTAACCAATGACGATAGATTGCGCTTTTTAGACACGTCTTATTTATTTATTGAAATTTATTTGTCACATATCGTCATAAATTATAGCCTATAATTATGTTAATCTGGTTTATAAACAATAATATTTTAAAGTCGTGTAAGTCAACCCCCATAAAACAATTTAGTAATACTCCACTATCAAGAAAAAAGAAGAAGAAAAACAAGAAAAGTACTCAATCAAGTCCAACAAAACCTTGTTCGACGCAACCTGAAACAAAGAACCTAGATAGCCCTGGGAAAAGAACTGAACAATCTAGTAATAATAACAAGAGAAAACTGTGCATTTTAAGTAATAGACATTACTCAGGCACATTTAGCTCCATCGAAAAGACATTTTCAAGTGACTTCAAGATTTGTAAATACCTATTACCTAACATTAGAATTAAGCTACTCTTGACTAACCTGAATGACAAATTATTAAATTTTACTATGAATGACTACTGTATAATTGTACTAGGTGATGCTGATATAAAACACATTAACGGTATTGAACTGATAAATACAATTAGCAAATTAATTGAAAAAATTGACTATACTAACCTGATATTCTGTACCCCTACATATGTACTCGGGGCACCAATTCATAACTACAAAATTGAATTATTCAATAGTTTACTCTATGTAGAATTACAAAAATACCATAATGTTTATTTTTTTGACTCTAATTTGAACCTAAATTATGAAATGTTCTCAAGTTTATCAGGTAGGGTAAATAACTTAGGATTACAAAACATTTACCAGAATGTAATGAAGCAAATATGCTTTGATTTTGAATCATTTCCTTTGATAACCCCACAAGTTGACTGCGACATAGCCATCGAGAGTAACAAATCTGACTACAATACAAACTCTGGTGCTGGAAAAATACCACAAAAACACAATAAAAAAATTATAACCGACTATTTTCCAACAATTAAACCTAAACAATCATTTTTTCGTGTCTCAAAGTAATAACTCCACCAAACCATTTACGATTTTTCACCAGAACATTGCTAGTATTGTCTCAAAACGGGAAATATTGGAATTAACTTTGGAGGAACTTCGAGAGTCGGGTACCGACCCGGATCTTATTTGTCTTTCCGAAACTTTTGTACAAACTGGTCATGACAGGTATGTGAAAGTTACTGGTTATAATTTAATAAGCGCATTCTGTAGAGACAAACAGAGAGGAGGAACCTGCATTCTAGCCAAGCTAGACTGCCTTTGCACTGAAGCAACCTTCCTTAAGAAGTATGCTACCCAAAAGAATTTCGAAATTTGTGGTATTGACGTCCCCCTACATAAACTGTTAGTCATTTGTCTTTATAGAACACCCTCATCAGACCCGAACATATTCTTAAGCAAGTTAAACAGTGTTCTTCATGAAATATATAGACGTTACAATAATAAAAACACTAAACTAGTAATTGCAGGTGATTTCAATATAAACATACTAAAACCAGGAAAAATCGTTGACTATCTTACAGATATTTGCAATAATTATAATCTTAAAATCCACATCAATACTCCCACACGTAAAGATTCCTGCATTGATCAGATCTTAAGTAATATACGAGATGCCTCATCGTCAGTGTTATCCCTCTACTTATCCGACCATGACACAGCACAACTATTATCTTTTCCCGTCGAACAAAAAAAACATATACCAAAAACACAATTTATCTACAGAAGAAACTACTGTCTTGATAATATTGGTAAGTTCAAAGAATGGCTTAANATGATAGGAATTGAAAATTTATGTAAGAAAACGCGCTACCGTAGTAAACACTAGAAGCAAGCAACATGAGGAAAAATGTACGTTTAATACTTGAATGTTAAAAATAAAATATAAATCCACAGACGCTGTTTTAATTAGGCCAACGTACGAGCAAAGTTCGCACAGTGTTTTAGCTTGACAAACAGCTCGCTTTCGAAGCAGAAATTAGCGCTGCAACCATGCTTTGAACATGTTTTGTACATGAATATCTACAAAAATGGCTTCTCACTATAGGCCTCATAAAGAAGCTCAAAGATGCACATCGTGCTATGCTCGGTGTTTCTTTACGAGATAGAATCAGAAATGAGAAGATCCGTAAACGAACTAAAGTCGCTGACAGAAAAATATGAACATGTTCAAATGTAGCAAACAGTCCCTTATGGTACAGTTAGTTACACTCATGCTCAATGCTTGCACGAAATCATGCCACTATTGAGCAATTGCTACTTAGTAGCATGTGTCAAGCATGCTCATTTCGAGTTGTTCGAGCACGTCGTTAAGCATGCGAATAAGCATGACATTTTATGAGTATAATGTACCTTTTTAGATTGTTCTTTGATGCTCTCTGAACTGCTACTGACTGATGATTAAGAAATATTTAAATAAAGATAAGTACTTGCAGACTTTTCTAGTTCATTACGATTAAAATGACCGTGTGCGCGCGCACTAAATTTGACCCAACGTCAACTTTAGAATAGATAAAAAAAACTATAATATTCATAAGACCCAGAGGTCACTGATAACGGGTTGTCTAACCAGCGAGGATCCAAGTTCGATGCCCATTCAACGGAATATTTCACATCGCGGAAATGAAACGGCCAAAAGTTTAGTTTGCGAATATTAATTAAAATAAACCTTGAGTCTTTAACGTTAAACGTACAAATGTTAATGTCAATAGAATCATGCTCTTAAAAAAACTATTAAATCATGGACTAAGTTATCAATAAAAGAAATACACTTAAACAAAATACTTTTTTTTTTCTTTTGTCCAAATGTAATAAATGAATTGTCATTTTCCAAACGTGTAGGTATGACCTAGAGCACGACAAAAAAAAACTTAATTGATTATTAAACCATTCCTATTAAACTCGTACATACCGTTATACCTAAAATTCGTCATCCTAACATTTACCTACGTCCTGCCAATCGCGATCGAAGTTAATTTAGCTGTGCAATCGATATAATCGAATTAGGCGCTGCAGTGATCGGTTTGCTCTAATTCAACCTATCGCTGCGACGAATTTCAATTTGATACTCCAATAATTTTAATCGGCAAGATGAGAGATTGTATTTTTTCCAATTTCCCTCTATTTGTGCATGTAAGGCCCAGAACAGACGGTGAAACGCAACTGCAACGAAACTGCAACTTTATGATGATTCATAAAATTAAAATTCATAAAATTCATTTATTTTTGCAAATAGGCTTTTAAAAAGCACTTTTACACGTCCCAATATTAACTTCTTTCTTTTTTCGATTCTGATGAATGAAACTGAAACTGAAAGTTTCAAACTGGTCGCGTCATGTGTGGTCTCTCAACGGACACTATGGCAGAAACTTAGATGCAACTCAAAAGTAACTAGCAGTTGCAGTTGCGTTTCACCGTCAGCTGTTCTGGGCCTAAAGCGCACGTGAACGTGCCATGACGTGGTCATGTAACATTTTCATACTATAATTTGACACCCGTGAGCGCGTGGTGGCATGGTATCATTAAAATATGGAGTTAAAATTTGTTTATTTATCGCACATAGTTAAATAGTAGCACTTAAAAAGTAGCTACTTAGATAAAACTAAGATAACACGCACGCTATAGATGATTTTCCTTAATCGGTAATTGCTCTACATTTCTCGGAAAACTGTTTAACTCTCACTGATATCGTAGTTTATGTTAGATAATATAATTCGAAATAATAAACAAAACTAAGTTGTTTTATTCCAGAGGTTTAAATACGAGTAATAATTCTGTTACAAGATACTAAAGCATGGGGAAGGAAGCCTTTGTCCAGCAGTGGACGTCATTTGGCTAAAACGAACGGAAATTTTTCAGCTGAAAATTATTTCAGACATAAAAGTACCTATTACAATTTACAATCTTCATTAAGTAGAAACATTGGCGCAACTATTAAATATTGAAAAATGGAAACTTCTTTAGTTTCCAAAGATAAAGATTTCAAACCAAACAAAAGAGTTAATGAAATAAAACCAACAACTGTATCAACAAATGGTAAACAGTAAACACTGTTTGAACCCCATACCGTAAACAAAGATCCTTCAAAGAAATGAAGTATCCCAACGAGTGTAACCCAAGCGTCGGCCGAGACATTCTACGTATTTGTGTTTGGCTAAACAGCATGTTTATAAATAGTCGCATTATGTATGCATTGTCATAATGACACAAATTCTCTCAGTCTCATTTAAATACTAAGCGGAATACATTTATTTTTATTTCGATTGCTATTCGTAACTCTATTTAAATATAATCTTAAGTCATTGAACCATACCATTGATGCTACTAAAATGAAGCAACACGAGTATAAATCACTAAATAAGTATTCCAAATTTTAGTATTTTCCGCAGAAATTCCGCATCGCCGTTAATCTCGGAATGTAAATAAAAACAATACACACCTCCGCGCAAGCCATTTTGGCACTGTCACCTGTTTCGCACGGTTTGCCAACACACCGTAAAAAACCACATGATCACACAAACAAAACGCACTAGCACATTTTTTTAAACAATTTGTATCGCTTCACTTAGTTTTGTACGTCTTGGTTAACTTCAGTATTTCCCGTAGGAATTTGGGCGAAACGTTCTAGAAAAAGGAACTATAGGATGAGATATGACATCGGTCGCGGTTCAGGCCAAACTAGCGCGGACGCTCGCGTTGAGTGGCCGAAGCGCGCGCGCCGATCTCTTATTATTTAATAGCCAGATAAAAGATTATCTATTGAGGCGTCCTCGGTCAATACGACATTAAATTACGTATTTATCACTGAATGGCATGAGGCGAGTGAACATTGTAGTTAGAGGAGCATGTGTAGATAAGCTATCGAAATGGGTCATCGAATACGAGATGAAAGTGCCTGAAAGGAGGAAAACGGTGCGCTCGTTCTTGAATATTCAAATGGAAAGCAAATCTAGTTAACAGGATTTTAGTGGATAATCCCAAAGATAATGTATAAGGGATCCGTTGGATTTTAGCGAGGAAAAACGTCGTTTTGGATTGAATATTGGAAAGCCTTTTAACAGATTAAAAAGCTAAAGCTAGTAAATAGGGAAAGAAGCTATGTCTAAATTCTAAATTCTTGAGAAATATTTCAGATTCTACGACGTGTAATATTTAAATGGGAGTAAAGCCACATGGTCACATGAGAATATAATTGTTCTAAGGTCCGTAACCGGCACACATTCGGCAGATAAATGTCGCCAAGTCAGATAACAGCTACCAAAATGGAACCCGACTAATTACAATGATAACGATGACCATTCATGAGTAATACAAATGCATGGGAAGACGACTGTTTGCATGATTGATATATTTGAGAGAGAATTCAGAGGTTGATATTGAGAGGTTTCAATTTTCGCACCTAATCGGTATCATTTGGCAACAAATTAAATCTCTGTTTATAGACTTTGATCTTTATGAGTGATCTAGCCGGTAGTGATATGGCTATCAAAATGCATGGCAATTTTGACAGTTAGAACCTGATCCTATCGCCCTATCTCATCGCCCTGTTAGTTCTGTATGATGCAGAACCCAGATGGAATGAAGATATACGATGGTAAATGGCGGTTTGAAGACAGCAAGCGAGGATCAAGCTCAATGCTCGCCGCATTGCAGTGGCCTATATCTTGCAGTCAACTTAGATTGATGATGGTCTAAAGCTGTTCATTGCTCTCTCAAAACATAAACATGAAATAAGAAAGTCTATTTATACCAGAAACTTTTTTTTTTTTTTTATCCACAACGAGGAAGCTCTTGGCCTGTATCTCACCTGATGTGACGATCAGGCCGAAGGTGGAAGCGAGTTTCACCCGGAACCCTCAACCACGGAGGAACTGGCTATCTTACCTCTAATTGCCGGAACACAACAATGCTGTTAACATTGTTGTTATGGCGACAGACTTAGGTAATACTTCACAGCTAGGAACGTTCACCCAAACACTTTTCATAACTTGTTCCCGGATCCAGGCAAACTTCCCGTAAACGAGCCTGAGATTGTTTTCAGTGCAAATGCTCATTATACAAGTTTCTCAATTAAAGCAGCCAGGTACACGATTCGGCAACTGCTAAGTAGAATTTAGAACTTTCTTCTACAAGAATAACAATGAAATAAACAATTCCCGTATATTCGAGTTTTAGTTAGAATTTCCCGTTTAGAACGTGGAATGGGACTTTGATGCAGGATTCTGACATTCAATTCTAACTAAAATGCTATACAAATAATACCATATTATGTAAATACCTAAATTAATGTGGGAAAAGGTTATTGAAGCGTGCGAAGACAGATAAGCAAATATGTAGAGGTCAGTCAAAATATCGAAATGAGCCATAGAGGCTTGAGAAATACCCTATTATCAGATGGTGTTAATTTTAACTACAGGGTGTTAGGTAAATGGGTATACGAGCCGACACTAGCCCATGTTAACATGGGCATATAAATGGTATGGTGAAGTCAGAAATTTGATATCTTCATTTTAATTATTTTATTTTTCATACAGATCGGATTTTATAAAATTTATTTTGTATGAAAATTTAAAAAAATAAAATGACGATATCGACGGTGTCGGCTCATATACCCATTTACCTAACAGCCTGTATAAAGCAAATGGCATAATGTTTGAAATTAATCAAGTTAAAAGATCTCTTCTAAGTAGTAAATAGAGTAAAAGGGAAACCAGTCTAAAATAAGGGTCATAACAAGCACATTATCTAATCGCCAACACGCATTGTCAACTGATGTACGCAAATAGTCATCAATCGCGAAAACATGTCGATTGTCGAGATAATGGGAACAGCAATTAACTGCGATGATCTACTGAAGTACTGACTCACGCACAGACCATACGTAATACCGTGCTAAACTTGACTGGAGATAAATACTCAATACTCAATATAATTACTTACATAACCATAAATGATGTAAAATGTACGATAATCTTACATTGATGGATCCTGTAGGGCAGTGTTTTTCAACCTGTGGGTGCCTCTGTAGGGGGGTCGCGAGAGGTCGTAAAAACTGCCTCAGTAAAAGAATCAGTAAAGTTATAATGATAAAGTTATCCGAAATTTAATTATCCAAATCCATCCAAATGTTGTATGCATTGAAATATTTGGTCCCTACAACATCTTTATAACATTATAAAATGCATGAAAAAAAAGCGAGCGGTCGGGGGGTCGCGAAATATTTTTTTCATACCAAGGGGGTCGCGTCATGAAAAAGGTTGAAAAACACTGCTGTAGGGGAATATGTATAGTTAGTTCCCCTTGTTTGGCAGTGGCACCCTTTGTCTAATGTCAAGGCTTTAAGAAATCCCTGGACCCGAATTGAATACTTCTTATACAGTATCGTTTAAGAACCGCAACCCTACCATCTGAATTTGAATGCACAATATCGTTTTGGGATTCCGTTAATGTCCGTTATCAAAGGATGTTCTTTGTGCTAAACAGGTTATTTTTTCTTTCAAAGGATTAATAAGAGGTATGAATAGGGATGTACTGAACAATCGTCTTTCAACTTGGATTGGATCCCATCATTGGGGAGATTAAGGTCAAACTTAAACTCTCTTGCAAAAAAAAGCAACACGTGTCTCTCACAATTAATAGTTCGAACAGTGGTTGCAAAGACAACACATGAATTTTCTTCAGCGAATTGATTTTTTTTATCCACAACGATGCCTGTATCTCACCTGATAGTAAGTGACGTTCAGGCCGAAGGTGGAATCGAGCTTCACCAACCACGGAGGAACTGGCTATCATACCTCTAACTGCCGGGACGACACAACAATGCTGTTATCATTGTTGCTATGGCGACAGACTTAGGTAAGATGCTGATCAGAAATTGCCTGCATATTCTGCATTCAGAATGCGAGGCTTACAAATACGTTAACAGATCTGAATGTGATGTCTAGAATATCTACATCGATCTGTCTGGCTGGACTCGCGTCACCAGCTCACGTGGCAGACAGACTGACGCTGACAGCTTCGATAAAAAATATTTATCTAAGGGCATTGTCATGGTAGGTTATAGATAGTCAAGATAAACAATGTGTGCTTGCAATAGGTGATAATTTGCAACAAAAAAAATATAGCTTAATGTGCTGTCGACAGTACAAATCCCGTTATAATAATTCATTTAATTGTTATTGGCAATATAAGGAAATTGTCCGACAGTTTATAAAGTATTAAGATAGCACATGATTTATTGCGTGTGAGCGAGACGTTAATATCAGCACATATCAGTGACTCAATCGACAGGAAAATGCGCTTGAAACTCAACATTGAATTTTATTTTTATTCACCGGCGACATGGAATAACCAAGACGTGAAGTTATTAGTCAAAAAGATTTACATTTATATCCGATAATGATGATAACTAAGAGATATGTAATCTGCATTTTGTTTTGTTACTATGTAGCATATATAAACCCAGTTATATTCAGTATACCTACTCAAATAGTAAGTATACCAGATAGGTGAGACATGAAATATATATGTGACACTTCTAGACTCTGCTGCAAAAGTAAATAGTGTAGAGTAGTTTTTTTTTTTTTATGCTAGCCAAGGCAGGTATTTGACCGCAATCGCACCTGGTGTTAAGTGAGGTGTTAGTATCAGAAATAAGCAGTTAAGACCTTTGCTCAACAAAAATATTTAAAATTAAAACATCTATTGATCGCCGATTCATCAATTTTACACATTTTATGATCCAAATAGAGATTAAAAGTCACCCGTACAGCTAAAATAAATCGAAAGCTGTATCTACTAACACTTTTAATTACTTAAACCGATTTCCACAAAGAGTTATGATACTGCGCCGCTCAGCAGACGTGGCAAATGAAATGGATAGCTTCATTCATTCTTCGATTCGAACGAAGCAGACGAGTTTAGCGGACTTTTCACTGTGGTGGATGAGTGGATTCTTGTTTATTACTCTTTGTAAACTCATTGGAGTGTATTTTGCCACCAATAGATGGCGCTGCCAATACATTACCTCGCGGTTTATAGAATTTCACTAGAATAGCAAATATTTTACGGCTGTCCACGTACTCATTAAAATTATAAGCTCTAGAGGTGCATCATCAATCCAAGTTTAATGTTAACTGCAATATCATGTGAATGACTTGAATCGAGGCCCATAAATGCTCTTTCTCTTTCTTTCTTGGCAGCAAAATTGTCGACTGCCAAGTCGCTGCTAAGATTCCTCGCCTGGTCAGTTCCCGAACTTTCGACCAACGTTACAAGGAAATAAAGTTCAACATCGTATGCATCATGCAGCACAATCGTCGGGCCATTCGGCTGTTTGCCGGGTCAAATGAAAGCAAATACGAGTCCGTGATGTTTGGGTAAACACTGCCTTGATTGTTGGCTTCACAAAGGAACCCTGAGGGACTTGGTACGGCTATTTTTGTTCTATTGATAAGACTTTAACATTTAATGTTTGTTTTACAATGCATTGATTAGGCCACCACGGAAGTCAATCTATGTATTAAAATTTCTTAGCGATTACAGCTTCTCAAACTAAATTATAAATAGACAACTTAAAAAAATTTAACTGTCTAAGGCGGGAATCGTATCCACGACCTTTCTCTCGCCGGGCGACTTAGAATCATCTTCCATCTGGAAGAGCAGTCGCCCGGCAAGTGAAAGGTCGTGGGTTCGATTCCTGCCTTAGACAGTTCGTT